TCTCTCTCTCTCTCTCTCTCTCTCTCTCAAAGCCAGTTGATGTGTAACTCAGTACACTCTTCTCATCCAGACTTGATTCTCTCTACTATCATAGTTTCGATACAAATTAATTCATCAAACAAATTGGTTTGAGCTCCATCTTGATCAATGATAATATATATTTCTATCTACTTTTTTTTACAGATGATATTGGAGAACACAAGGCTCATAAGAATCCCTTCACAGAGATTCTACAAGTGTGCAAAGGGTATTCAAGTGGAAATGAGGACATCAAAAATAACATGAGGGAAAAAAACCCCTATATCTAATCTTAAGAAAGATTTCAGAGCCTTCCACAAAAATGTAGCTAATCCAAATAAGATCACATCTTCAATAGTGAAGATATCGTAAACATAGATCTTGGATTGAATATAAATTTATATTATCGATAAGATAATAAGTCAGTTATTATCAAATCATGACAAATAGTATGAAAGTCAACTTATCACGAATTGATATTTGTAAGCCACTATATTTTTTATGAAAAAAAATCTGAAAAATCACATTGGAGTTTATTTTGCCCTAATTTAAATGATGGGACCATTGCACCTACAATTAATTTTTCTATTTAATTATGTAATCCTATTCTAATAGGATTTGGTGAAAATACATGATTAATATTCCTTGTCCCAATTCTAATAAAGGATAGGGAGAGTGAAGGATTATAAAATTTAGTATAAGATTATAACTCTAATTAATTTGATATTAGAGCTCGCTCATCTTAGCGAACCATCTAAAACTTGCAAAACCCCTTTGAGAATCAATGATAATTTCAAAATTGGAATAATATATTAAATATTTTCTAATGATATTTAATATGTTAAGTATTCCAATACTACTTCTATTGTACATTATTAGCATATGCATCGCCTAAACCACAGTACTACTTCTATTGTGATATGAGGCCTCAAGGCTCGACCACGTTTGTGGGCCTTCTACATCACTGTGCCACCCAAGTCGGATATGCACGAATCTTGAAGAGGATCGAACAGTGGCTTCTCGGTATTGCACACGTTGTACAGCGGATCCCAACTGTGGCCCGAGGCAATGGATGGGCGGTTATTATGGTTTCACGCGGTTTCTTGAAGGGTCGCTACTTGGAGGGGCCGTCATTTCTGGGTTTGAGTGCACGAATCTTGAAGAGGATTGAACGGTTCTTTGTTTGTGCTGCACGCGTTTTACGTTGGATCCGAACCGTGGGTCCAGGCGATGGATGGGCCGTTACGATGGTTTCACGCGGTTTCGTGGATTCGGTGCTTCCAACCACGCGTATGATTCGTTGAAGTGGAGATATTAACGCCGTCGCTTATTCTTCTTCCTCCTCGAGCGCTTCGCCACTCTTCCCCTTCTTCTTCTTCTTCTTCTTCTTCTTCTTCTTCACAGTGAGAGGCGATGGAAATCCTCCTATTATTCGCCATATTTATCTTCACCTGCGGCATCATCAACTACTACTGCTTCCTCCCCCGATCGAAGTTAATACCATGGCTTTGCTCACTTCTTCCCGCTGCTTCCTCACCGCCAAAGCCAGTGGAAAGATGTTACAAGGAGGAGAAGGGAAACGAGGACGACAACATCGAGCTCCAGAGCATATTCTCGACCTTCGACAAGGATGGCGATGGCTTCATCACCGTAAAGGAGCTGGAGGAGTCGCTCAGGAGGTTGGGCCTCGCGGTCACGGGCAATGAGGCGATGCGTATGTTGGAAAGAGTCGATACCAATGGAGATTGCCTCATAGACCTCGGGGAGTTCCGCGAGCTGTACGCTGCGCTTGGGAGAGGTCAAGGACCAAGCGGTGGAGATGGTGGCGGAGAGGAGGAAGAAGAGACGGCTTTGAAAGAGGCCTTCGACGTCTTCGATGGTAACAGAGATGGGGTGATAGCAGCGGAGGAGTTGGCCACGGTGCTGACCTCGCTAGGGCTGAAGCAAGGGGCGAGGCTGGAGGACTGCAGAGACATGATAAGGAGGGTGGACAGGGATGGGGATGGCAAGGTGAGCTTCGATGAATTCAAGAAGATGATGAAGACGAAAGGTGGGAAGCTCCTTTGATCCTTTGTGTCGATCAGCTCCCTTGTGCTGCTATATGAACTTAGAGGGTGTAAATCCATAGAAGCTAACCCATGTCCTGTTCTTTCCTCTTCTTCTTCTTTCTTTCCTTCTCTTTTTCCTTGTGCTGACCATTGCTCTCAAGTTATAAACAACCTGTTTTAATCATTTCAAGGAGAAGAAATATGTCGCTGCGGCTGCTGCGGCTTCTTCTTCTTCAGAAACTATGATGAGCTTTTGCTTTTTCTGTTATTTTCATGTTAGGAATCATGGTGCAGATGTGATATGACTCACAGTTGATGTTCTTGGACACTCATGACTAGTGTAATTGTTGAGATTTTGTGGTTGAGGAGCTTAAAAGTCCAATTTTGATCAGCAAGTTCTTGTGAGAGCCCCTGCCAACTGCTTCTTCCAATACTTTTGAACATGGACATTAGAAAGCTGAAGTCCATCTAATTCAGAGAAAAAGCTGCTTAATCTGTCTCTAATTCATCTACCCACTCTCTCCCATCTTTGATGTCATGAGCTAGCAAGATTAGGACTGCTCAAAACAGGGCAAGAGAAGGTTCTTTCCATCCTAAAATATCTAGCACACGCGGGCCAGGGGAATCAACACAATTAATGTCTCTCTCTCTCTCTCTCTCTCTCTCGTTGTCACGGTAGAATGTGGACAATTACCCGATGCTGTGGCGGCAACCAACTCATCAAAATTAATTGAACATGTAGATGATTTTATTTGAAGGCGTCAAATAGAAAGTGCAGTCAACTTAGAGGAGGTAATTTGATGTGTAATATATGTTATGTTGATGTCAGAAGACCACTGCTTTGTCTCCCAAACAACTGCAATTCCTCCTCATGCCCTTCCTTGCATACCATGTCCATATTCTTTCCTTGACCTTGTCCAAGATGGGGTCGTCGGAAAAGAATACCATGTCCATATTCTTTCCTTGCATACCATTCCTTTTCTTTTACTTTAGCAAAGGATTTGGTGCTCTGCAGAATGTGATGCTTTTTCCTTTGAAGAATCATTAGCCATGGAACGGGCACAGATTGAAGAATCCCTGTACTTCTAGAAGAAATTTAAAGAAAGTCTCTCATTCTTCGTTGAACCGAACCTGAAACTATTGTTGTGTTTCTGAAGAAGCCATTCAAACTCAGTCAAATTCCTCACGAATGCTTAAAAGTTTTCATTCACATGTTGGCTAGTGGCTCAAAATGCCCTGTTGCATGATAATACTTTCATATGAAGGACCAAAGCTATGCAGGGGGGATGAGGGGAGAGAAAATGCTGCATATTGCCCAATTATATCTTTCCAAATAACATGCTTCTTACACAGCTTGCTCAGCACAAAAAGAAGAGCAAGTGCCATGCCACTGGCATCATATTGACTCAGATCATCATGTCCTTGTATTCGAGCAACAATCTAAGTTCAGAATTTAAAACCAACATAAAACACTGACAACCAAAACATTAACTTCAATGCATTACTCCATTTACAATCAGGAAACTCTCAAACCAGAAGGCAGATACGTCACTCAAAGCGAAGAAGAGGAAGATCCATCTGGACATGTAACTCGTTCACGCATGTATTACGAGATGATATGCTTTGCATCTATGAGCCCATTTCATTTGCATTTGCTTCGGAATTCTTCTCTTCGGATATGAAATCGGAGCTACCATTAGGACCTGACAGTACTTGAGAAATCCCAGCTGGCTCAGGCCTGAACATTTCATCGTTCTCCAAATCAGATAGGTTCTCTTTGGACTCCCCTTTAAGCAAGTCCACTACCTCCAGCATTGTTGGTCTCTTTTCGGGCATGCTCTGCGCACATATGAGAGCAACGAGCACCATTCTCTTCAGTTCTGCCTCTGCATAGTTCCCTTTGAGCTTCAGATCTGCAATTTCCTTGAACTTTCTCTCCCTAGCCAAAGGTAGAGCCCACTCGGTAATTGGTAGCTTCACTGTTGGGCTCGGCTTCTCTATAGACTTCTTTCCACTAGCAAGCTCAAGAAGGACTATTCCAAAGCTATATACATCACAACTCTCTGAGGCCTTTCCATACATGGCATACTCGGGTGCAAGGTAGCCAAGGGTGCCTTTCACCTTTGTTGTAACATGAGTTGCATCATCAGGGATGAGCTTGGCAAAGCCAAAATCAGCAACTCGTGCCTGGAAATTGGAGTCTAGCAAAACATTGCTTGCTTTTATGTCCCTATGGATTATACGAGGTGTTGCATGGTGGTGAAGGTAGCTGTCAAACAAGAAAAAGGATCAAGGTATGTATCAGGAAACATGTAAAATAATGCTGAAGGTGGTGTTCATGAGTATGTAGACCTACGCGATCCCCTCAGCTGACCCTATGGCAATGGACATTCTCCTGTCCCAGTCAAGAAGGCACTCAGCTGAATTATGTCCATGCAGATGTGAGATTAGACTGAGATTTGGCAGATAGTCACAAACTATAAGACGCTCTTGTCCTTCAGCACAGTATCCTCGCAAACTTAAGAGGTTCTTATGCCTCACTTTGCCCAAAATCTCAACCTCAACAGCAAATTGCAGTTCAGCCTTGTTGCTCCAGACTTTTAATCTTTTGACTGCAATCTGGGGAAAAAAAAAGCAAAACCCAAAATTTGGTATTTTATATAAAATATATAAACAAAAATAAAAGAAAATCAAACTTCAGACATTGTTATGCAGCCAATGGACTACCGTGAAGAGATTTTACAGAAGAACCAACTCGAGAAACATGGTGAACAATATTCGGTCAAAGCTGACAACCTGTTTCAAAATATGCACACATCGTCTCAAAGTAAATCTAGTCTATCTACATGTAACCGACAATTTAATTCACTCATTCAACCAACGCATAACTTCTTCACCACCGGTTGGTGAAGGCATGTCCAAAATCTCCTAAGAAGTGAAAAGAGTTCATCACTTGTCATTCTGCTATGATTGTGGAGTCATGCTTCAGGAGCTATTCCTTGGGGGCAAATGTGTCTCTTCAGTTACTATGGGCTGAAGACCCTCATGTCGGTTGGTAATAGATGATTCTAGAGTGCTTAATGGTTATGGACCTTGAAAATATAAATCATAAGAAGGTTAGCATTTATAATAGGTGCCAAATATGGATATGCCATGAAATAGGTAGTCAATCTCAAGAAAGAGATTCAAGTACAGCACGCTTACAGTAACAAGAAAATTTATTGAAGTATCACAAACATATAAGATTTTTGCATTCTTTAGCAAATTTGGTTTCTATTAGCTTACTCCAATGTATCATATTATAAATTATAATAATCATGTAGCATATCTATCCTATGAAAAATTAATTTTACAGATAAAAGTTCAAAACTTGTGTGACAAGAAATAAGAGCCTTAAAGTATCATCTAGATTGACTGTTCAAATTTTCATGCTCCATGTACTGCCAACGAAAATGCCAGGATGCTTTTAGATTTTTCTTTTTTTGGGTTTTGGAACAAGGAGGGGAGGCTCACAGAGAAGACAAAGACATGAGCAACTGATTAGAAAAGAAAAAAAAGAAAAAAATATATTTATAACCTCAAAAGATTACCAACTTCATGACATCAAAAGATCCAGTTGGACTCCAATTCACATGCAACTGGTTGTAAGATCTCAATCTACTGTGGCCATCTTTAGTTCCAGAAAAGTAATCTTTGATTGAATCTACAGTCTACAATATAATGAGATTACAGTAGAGAGCTTGTGATCCCATCAGATTGAAAAGAAATACTTCACCACAAATGCATGAATGTCATCTCCTATACCGTGGGATATTGCAATGCTTTAATTAATCTATCTACAGTTATGGGTGTCATCTGTAATATAAATTATGTATCCTCTTCTTTCTTTTCCCTTATGTTGGTGGGGCGACGATAAGCAACTTGAGCATATATTATTCCAGATTCTCTTAGTTGCTCTTATGAAAGGAAGGATTCAGTTGGACCATAGATCTCCAATAGGGAAAAAAAAGGGACATGATGGTTTCTTCAGCAATTGTAAGTAATAAGCTCCTTGAGGAATGATGAAGAAGAACAAACGAGTGTATAGAGCGTATTTTATGGGTCACACCTCAATTATCAAGCATTTCTCAATTAGTTCATTCCTATCACTAGAGATCAACTCCACTATATCTTGAGAACTACGAACCAACAGCCACTTAGGACCCACATTGCTTCAGAATAGACTATCTACTAGAAAGATTAACAACCATATCAAAGATTGTGATCCAAATAGAAGTCATAATCCTGGAATTTCTCAACAACGAGAAGTCACTTTATTCCGAGCGCAATTCTTCTAACGATTCAAACTCACACAAAATCAAAATCCTGAATCGATCATCTTATCAACTCCAACAACAGCATGCAGCGGTAATCTAATATTGAAGGCTGATAAATTTAAACGAACAAATAAAGGAGGTCAATGAAGAAACAGAGATGGCATGATCTCGTATCACCTGAGATCCGTCCCAGAGCTGGCCCCAATACACACTGCCGAATCCCCCTTCTCCGATCTTGTTATCGTAATTGAAGTTGTTGGTGGCAGACTGCAGCTCCTTTAAAGAGAACACCCTCCAAGTTGAGGAATTCTTCTTCCACTTATCCCTCCTACATACCAAAGCCGCAGTCTTTTCGTCATCAAACCATCCAAAAAATCACCAAATACGATATACCTTCACCCGAATCCAATACCTAATCTGTAACATGTCAAAAGACAACGCACCTATCAGATGTCTTCCCACAGCAGAAGAAGGAACAGAGAGCCATCTGAAAAATATCCCAGTGCTCCGATGAAACCAAACCAATTTCACCAACTTTCCCGCTTCTCTCCTCTCTCCGCGCTCTGCTTTTCTGGCTTACAGCGAAGAGTGGGAGATCAACAGAACCGCGTTCTCTGCCAGCAATGCAGCAGAAGCCATGCCAAGTGAGTAGCCTTGGAACGACCGAAAACGGAGATCGAATACAAGGTGAAAAATACGATCTTGAGAGCGAGGGAGAGACCGTAAGGGTAGGAGGGTTTGGGAAGGCGAAAGCGAGAGAGACAACGCAAAGGAGCGCAGGGACGGAGGAAAAGACATGGCACAAATGAAAGAAAGAGCAGAATTAACAGCACACCGAACACAGCTTTCGGTGGTTGACGCTTTATTGGTATCATTATTTTTTAGAAATGCATCAGGCACCGACGAACCGCACCCATAACATACCCTTACGATTCCGACCATCGATCTCGCAGGATGGATCCTCTCCCCTTAGTTATTTTCGGATTAAGGTATGTCGTCGGGTTTCTTTTCTGAGGTGCTGAAGCACTGCTATTTAATTTTGTGGCTTCTCGGTTTCGAATGGCAGTTTTTATCTTCGCAAGCAAGCCGAAGGAGAACCGTATAAGAAATGTCTTTTTTTACTTTTTAGACTACCCGATAACCTTACCTTTCTTTTATTGGAAACAGAATCGGTCCCATGGGCCCGTCCTTGAGATCTGGTCCGCCGGTAAGTGAAAGTGGTAAAAGAAAAAGATAGGTCTTCACATTCTACGTGGTTGTACTGTTGGATATTTTACTCAATATAGTGATGATTTACGCATTCGAAATGTGGAAATAACATATTTGTCTTTGTAAATTTGATATCACAAATATAGATGTATTAATATACATATCTCTCCAAGTAGAATATCCTTCACATATATCTATCTTGTTAACATCTTTCTAATAAACTTTATAAAAACAATAATTAATGTCAAATAATAGTTTTAAAAATATTTAACCATTTAAAATATTTTTAATATTTTCACAATCATATTATTTTTAAATAATATTATAGCTCCAACTAATGATTATATGATAATTAGTTAATGTAGATTAACCATACTAACATATGATAAATCATTATTTATCATCATCGACATGAGTACGTAAGTACTTTTAGTGCAGAATTTATGAACCCATATTCTAGCATTAATTGGTAAGTCATTATTTATTTTTACAGGAGAGTCGAAGTTAAATCGAGGGATAAACATAAAAATAGTTTACTATATATATATATATATATATATATATATATATATATATCTGGTTACATGTTTCCTGCGAAACAAGTTCTTGGATTCTTTAACATCTATATCAAACATTTTAGACTCCCCGACAAAGCAATATTCCGAAAATACAACTTTCGTGTTAGATTTCTTGCTCAGCTCATGAGGGGGAAGAAGTTAAGGGTGGGTGGGCCACACATACTGTCTTCTTATGAATCCATTCTTGGTCACAAGTAGTCCTCGATGTGTAGGCATAAGAACTTTTTTTATCTAATGCGACATCCAAACTAGTCATCATCCAAAATAAAAATAATGAATAATACGTGTCCATTAATCATTTAAATGATATAATATTGCCACAACTTTCGTTTAGTTTAGGTTTGTGAGCCCACACATATATGGATAGCACATTAGATAAATGAAATCAGTCAATGCACAAATATAAAAACCATATTGAATAAATAAAATACTTTTTTTTATATCGTAATTATTACGTACATATTCCCTTCAAATATAATAATATATATTGTTTACATTATTAAAAATGCACAAAACAATATTTTTAGTTTATTCTCCCATCGAATTTAAATTGATTGCGATTTAGTAGTTCGGAAGGATTAGAGCTTTACGTTCAACAAAAGAAGAGTGAGAAGAATATTCTTCTTCGCCTCTAATCTTCATCTTTCCTGTTCTTATTTTGTGGGTCATCAGTTTCTACGTTCAGCAAGTCACAACAGAAGGTGATAACATTTCATGCACGCTTCACTCATCATACAGAATACTAATAGAGATCAGACGAATCAGTTCGTGGGGCGAACGATGACACCTTTAACGATGAGGCCTTGCTTCCACTGTCCACCTTCGCACTCGAGCAAGGAGATCTCCATTTCTCCTGCTGCTTCGGGGCGTGTCTTGAGCTTGCACACTGTAAGAGGAATCCACCGTCCTCTAGGTTTCTCTAGCAGGCTCTCCTTGTGCTCTTCAACTCTTCCGTCGGGGAACTTCACCCTCAGATTCACCGGTGTTCCCCAGCCAGAAGCAGTTTCCTTGCTTATCATCACTTCGAAGAAGATATCGTACGTGACCGCAGGTGTAAGATGAGACATCTCAAGCTTTCCATGGATTTCCAGCCAACACACCTGTTGCAGTGATGCCACTTCGATCTCCACTTCCCTGACGAACAACAGGAACAACTGTTCATTCTCGGTGTCTTGCTTGGAAGAAAATTACAGTGAGGGAGGAAGAGATTACCCTGCTTCTTTCATCGGAAGCCACTGCCAGTATCTTGGGTCATCACCCCAAGTGATCGATAGGTCTCTAGCAACCAAAGCGAAGCAGTTTGCCCCAGTTTTCTCATCCACCCAATACTTCTGCATCACATGCAAAATGCATCAGCTGAATGTTTTTCTTCCTCTCCAAACTTGACAGGAATAAAACAAACAATAAACGAAGAAATTGATGCATGTTAATCACAACGAGGAGGACAGATGCTGTGGCTAACCTTCCTGTTGTTGCTTAAGAAGCTGCCCGAGGAGATGTGGTCCTCGAGACTCTCATCCACGGAGGGGTTTGCTGCCGTCCCACTGATGGCCTGAAACTTGTGTGGAACTTTGTTTTTGGCATCCTCCTTAGCTTCTCTCCTTCGTGATGACACAGCACCCATTGCCTACTAACACTTCTTCCTACAGATGCAGCCTTCACCAACAGGTGTTTATATAGAAAAACTAGTGACAAGAAATCGTAATTCCCAGGCAACGAATCATTCATATTACGAAAACGATTAGCATACTTGTTCGGGAAGTTTAATATGGAGGAATCTCTAAAGCCAATTGTCCTCATAATTAAGCATCTTTTTTGCTGGAACACTGTATATCTACTTTTTAACATCTAGAAAGAAAAAGGAACTATTCATCAGTTTAAGTCTATGACTGATTGATTGCCCACTTCGTGAGGAAATCATTCTGCACTCTAATATTCCCAGGAAAGTAGGATGAAGAAGTCATGTATTAGTCGATCTCCACTGTACCGCAATTGTAACAGTGTGTTTGACTTCGAACAGACATTTCTAATCAGCACATATTCTCTTCGGCTTTTACCATTTCTGTCGCGTCCCTGATTTATAAAAAAATAATAAATCATCATTTTCATTATTCTTATTTATACTCTTTTTTTTCATTCTAAATTCAAATTCATGTCTTTATATTAATAAATATTTTATTAATTAAAAAATTGGTAGAGTCATAAGTGATAAACAAATTTCTTTCATCGAAACTTATATTATAAAGTAATAGATTACTTAAAAAAAAATATAAGATAAAAACATATCAGGAATCACACATAATTCTTTAAGAAATCATAAAAATAACATTCACTATTCATAATATATATAAATATAAATTGTTTAATATGAAATAATAATATATCGATCTATTATAAAACTCATACATTAAAATAATAATAATAATTCTTATATAATAAAAATAATAATGCATTTGTTACATGCAACACATACATAATAATCATATAACAAAAACGCATATCACACTCGATGATGTACTCTTCCAATGACGAATGACGAATAAAGAGACATACTCTACGAGATGGATTCATTTCAGTAACAGATGGAGAGAACCTATATCATACTTCTGATAGTGGATGGAGTGGTATCCCTCACTAGCCCAAATGAGGACATATTTTTTTTCAATAATTGATAGATGAACTATCTAACCGTCACGTAGATAGGGAATCGCCCTATCTACACTCAATAGGATATATAAACAATCATGATCATTCATTTATTTATCCATTCATTCACATATGCATCTAAGAAATAGTGTGATAAATTATTATGAGGGACCATGATTGATGTATGATCTGCTAGACTATGTCAATTGTGTTGAATCTCGGATTTTGATGATGAAATCAATTGATGAGTTTGTGATCTAATATGTGTTTTGAGTGACGTAGGACTAGCTTCGATCAGGAGAGGTAAATTGATTGAAGCAAGAGGAATCAGATGTTGGGCCGGATTTTACATGTTAGAAGATTGGTTGACATTCCGACAAAAGGACTTTGTGCCGTGAGTTTGGGCATCGGGCTAGAAGAATCAGACTTTATACTAAGGAGATCGAATATTGCAAGAAGTCAACATGCCGATTGAGCAATGCATTGAAGGAGAGGACGATGCGCCGGAAGAAGGAATGATATGTCGGACAACATATGATTTGTGATGTGTAATAATTTGTCTAAATCAAATTAGTTTAGAGTTCTAATTGAGTTAGTTTGAATGTAATTAGGTTAACTCAATTATGGGCCCATTGGGCTTAAGATGGGATTGTTTTGGGCTAAGAGAAAGATTCATTCAGTACCCCAAAAGTTGGGTCAAGCGGTGGAACCGCCAACAACTCAATCTATAAGACATAGTCTCCAAGACTATGTCAGGCGGTGGTATCGCCCAACACAGGCGGTGGTACTACCAATACCTCGAAATCTCGGGGATTTAAATTTTGGTTCTAATTTTTGAAGTCATTTGGGATATATAAATATCTCAATCTTTCCTACTTAAGAGAGCAAGAAAGTAGAATAAAACTTTGTAATTCGAAAGTTGTAAACCCTTGAAGAGTGTGAGGGAAACTTTATAAAAAGAGGGTGTAAAGGTTCTCTCCTGAGCATGTCAAAAGAAGAAAAGAGTTGTAAGAGAATAGTTGGTCTTCACCCATTGAAGGAAGACCATTAATGAATGCCGATGGCCTCAATGGAGGAGGAATCGGGAATGGATGTATGTCACGACTATCGAACCACTATAAAATTAGTGTGCCTTCTCTTCTTTGCTATTTGCTTACTTTGCAACTACTTTACTTCTTCATCACTCTCCTACGAACATCTTTAAGCTTAAACATCTTTCCGATAGGGTTTTATCATATGAATTTTCACGATCGATGTAGTTCTCCAAAAGCACTAATTAACCCCTCCTTTTAGCATTAACTTGATCCTAACACATTGGTGGCTCCACACTGTAATGAGCTCATAGCTCTTTTAATATGTTGTATTTCCAATATGAACCAGTAGCATAGTTGCATATATTACACTGTAAGTTTATCAAATCATAGAAACATGAGACATCAATCTTTCAATAATCTTTAATCAAGCAGAATCCTAATTGAAATAGCTTAATTAACTTGAACTAGAGTTAATCAATTAGGACTTAATAGAGCCAACATCAAATCCTTATAACCGATCTAGAATCACCCTAGACTAGTCTAATTTAGATTTAATTAATTTCGATTATGTTAAGTAAGTTTTAGCTAGTCAAGTTGGTTAGGAATCATCGTAAACCAACTTTATCTAATCAAGCCTATCTAATTCAATCAATTAATGAGCTCAAACTAATAAAAAGAGAGAAAATTAGACTATGTCGTATAGTGTTAATCCAAACCGAACAAACAGTCTTGAATGGGTAATATAGGCAGCATGTGCTTGTCCCAAGTAATATATTAGATTAAGGCATAATGTGCTAAATAGAGAAGCGACGATGTGTTTAGCGCTAATCACATAGTTGGGTGGGCCTAACTTTATGGACTAGTCTGAGCTTCACTCACAAGTTGGGTCACGCTTGGCTCGTTGGTTGGGTCATACCTAGACATATGAATTGAGATCGTGTCTGCTCACATTAATTACGTTGTACTTAACCACGTAAGTCGAACCATACTTCATCACATGGGTTAGGTCATACATTGTCACATGGATTGAGTCTTACACGACCACGTGAGTTGGATCGTACCTAGCTATAAAGACTGATTTATATAGGACCACAAGGGCTGAATCGATTCGGTTTGACAAATCAACCTAACTCAGGTTAGACCTTAGTTACACTATTCTTATCAAATTAGATTTTAATATTTTAAATTATCAAAGAGTAACTTAAATCCATGAATTAAAAATTTTAAATTCATGATATTAAATTTAAAACTAATTAAATTATAAAAATTCATACATAATTTTTGAAACACAAATATATCTAATTAAATAAATTAAAATTATTATGTTAATCCAAAAATAAGAATTTTAATAATTAAATCAATCTTGAAATTCACTTAAATTTAAAAGACTATCATAACTCAAATAATCATTCTAACATCACAATTCAATTATCATTATTTATTAATCATAATTTTAAAATTAAAATATTGTTATACATCATAAAATTATAACAATCCTAATATCAAATATTTTAAAATATGATTCAAAGCTGATTAAAAAAGAGTAGAGGATTCTACCTCTCCTTGATTTTCTTTTCCTCGGGATCATCTATTAAAGAAATCATTTCGTTAATATTCCATTGTCATACTTATCGAGGAACGAAGGAGGAGGAGCCCCTTTATAAAGGAGAAGGTGAGATTTTTTTTCAAAAAATAAGTAATAATTTAATTTTTATTTTTAATTTATTTTCATATTACTCACACACAAAAATAGAAATATAATATTCATTTTTTATAGTTCACACATAAAATAAAATATAAAATATTTATTTTTTTATAATCATATCACTCATTAGGAAATAAATTATTAATAATTTAATTGATCGATAAAATTCCTAACTTGTCTAATGATTAAAGAAATCAATTTTAATATTCCTTAACCATACTACACAAACAAGAGAGTTAATAATTTAATTAAAATAATATATATAATAATTAATTTATATTAAGAGAAAAAATTATCGGTGATTAGTTCAATATCGAAAGTAGACAATATTAAAATTGACTTATAAGGGTCTAATGAGCATGCTATTATCAACTTCAGTTTAAGTATTTTTATCAGTGGTTTAGACTAAACGAATTTGATAGGCCAATTAACCCATGATACCCAAGTCATGACATTTGATATTAGAATTAACCTAATATTTGGGCATGATAAGGGAGATTAAGTGAGAAGACTCATCATGGTGTGGAGTTATCATTGAACTACATCTCACGTGGGTGATAGGGTTTAATCTGAACAAGGTTAAGATATATACGGGAAGATTACATCATTTTGTTATTCTCAAAATTTAAGATTGGTAGTCTAGATATTTTTATCATTTCTTTAACAACCAAAGAAAACCTTAAAATATATGATAATTATATTTTCAAAATCTTTGTTTTTTTTTTCCTCAAAGAGATGGTGTTTCTTGTTAAGCAATATCTATAAACTTTTAATAAAGATTTAAAAGAAATATATTAGAGAAGGTCGTATAGAAAGGAAGAGGTCATATCGAAAGGAGAAAGAGAGTTTAATAAATAATATATATATATATATAATATAAAACTAAGATAAAAATAAAAAATAAAGAGCACATATTTATATATTTTCTAGCTGGAAAAGTAAACCTATAGAAAAACGTACAATAATTGAGATCGAGATGTTGACCGTGACCCACGGTTTCACCTGGGTTTTATTAGACAGAAACCGAGCCCTGGTGGGACCCGCTTCGTGGCCCACTACTGTCTCCGTCCGTGTGGGAAGGTGGGTGGCGGCGAACTAGTTGGAGAAGCACGATGAGCAACACTTCCAAACAGAGCAAGAGTTACTCACCGATGTACCGGCTCTGTGATTCTCAATAGATGGGGCCAAAGGATGGGACCCAGTTCTGTCTCCAATCACAGGGTAGGTAGTGGCTGATGTAGGTGAGGAGTTTAAAGCACGACTCGTTCGAGATAGAAAAGCGACACGTTTATCAGGACCGTAGACTCGGCTATGGTTTCTTTGACGGACGCTAAATAGTTAACGGACGGAGGGAGATACATAATACGTTCGCGTTATCCGACCCCTCTCCCTCCTCTCGTCGCCTCTCCACCCGTCTTCATTGCGCCTCCACCTCAAATTATCCCAAACCCAACTCTCCCCTCCTCTCCTTTCTTTATTCCTTGCCTTCAATTCGAAATAGATGGAGATAGACTACGCGAGAGGAGGAGGAGGGAGATGGAGGGTGTCGTCAAGATAGCAGGTAATCTTGAACTTCTTGTTTTGAATTTTTCATTTAATTTTTCTACTATTCGGTTTTTTTGGTTATACTGTTCATCTGAAATCTTTATTTTCCTCATCAGGGTTGATTCGATTCGCGCCCCATTAAAATTGGACCAGAAAGAGCCGACGGTGATGAGATCTCCGGTGTTGTTGTGCTGCTCTCCCTTCTTGCGAGGGTAATAGAAGATGCCATCGACCTACTTGCCGAAGCACAAAGGGTTGCAGACCTCGTCCGAACTCCTGCGCAGCCGCGGACGGAGCTTCTTGTTCGGGAACACCTGCTTCGTCCTCTCCGAGCCCTTCTCCGCCCTCGGCTCCGGCTTCCATCTCCTCTCGAGGCCGTCCTCCAGCGATTGCGACCGTCGTGCCACTCAATCCGGCATCGGGACGCTCCTTAGGAGCGTCAATAACCAGCTTTCGCAGCCGGCGCAGAGGTTTCCGTTTCGGTGGAGCATAATGTCCGCCAGCAGCGCTTTCTTGCGAGGGTCCGATTCCTTCGCCAGGCACCTGGCGAAGGATAACGCCAGATCTGGGAATGGTCTGAACGGTGTGATGCGGGTCGATATTGGTTATAGCTACAAGGGCCTTGACCACTGCAGGCGAGCGAGTGGGAGCTTGAAAAATCGGGAACCTTGGGGTACTAATATGATCTACAAGTGTTTCTGGTCTAATGCATATGGGTTGAATTGGAGATCGAAATCCTTGGTGGATCCGGGGAGTCAAGATTATCGGACATCATGTACGGCACCTTACTCTGCAGGGGTGGCTCCTGATGTATCCTTTGATGCAGCCATGCATGAGGAGCAGCTTCAGACTCCTGATCTCAACTCTGAACAGTATGTTACTGGACATTTTCCCCTTTCATTTTCATACTACTTGGCCTGCTTACTAGGTTAGCTGCGATTTAAGAATTCATGATTTGCATATTGCTATTCTATTGCAGCACAACACATTTTTTAGTCACTGATGCCTGTTATCCTACTGTCATTATATGTTGTACGGATCACTAAAGTCCATCCAATGGTTCATCACATGGTTAAACATGATAATTTATGATTCTGGTGCTCTAAAGTTTCAATAGATGTAACAGTTCATGAAAGCTTGTGATCAGATTATGCAGGATATACTGACTTGTCTTATCACTTATGTTTATTAGACCCTCTCATGTACCAGCGTCATGTTGGTCACATACCAATATCTTTGATTATAGGTCTTAAAACTGGTTTAAAAAACAAATGTGATTCTTTTAGGAAAAAAAGGATTCACTAGAATGATAATAAATTCACCACAACATAATACAAAATAAAAAAAATCTGAGTCCAATCCACCTTGTCAGATTGGTAGAGTATTGGTATGTTAGGTGACACTGATCTATAATGTGCAGGATCATCGAAAAAGAATAACAAATATATAAGTACCAGTTGGAGCAAGCAATATGCTTTGATAGTGGCAATAACCAGTGCAACTGGTATTTAAGACCTTGGATGATAATTTCTGTTCACAAATCCATCCTTGTCTGTGCTGTTAGCTCTTTGTTTGGTCCCACCTTTTCTTTTTTCTAGGTTACAGAAAAGGGAGGAACAGGTTCACTGTCAAATGCGTGATGATCCTTGGTTGAGCTTCAAGAAGTGTTTTTATTTTAATTTCCAAAGCTTCTCATCAACTTATCATCTAATATTGCTCATTAGCATCATATTTAAAAATATGTATCATACCAGTCTATTAGAAATGTTACCTTTTTGTCTCTTTCTTAATGACTAGCACTAACAAATAATCATTCAGGGTGTTAAGAGATGCCTGTTTCGAAGTTTACAATTGCCTCTATTTTTCCAATGTAATTCTTTTTGTCTATCTTAATTGACTAGCACTAACAATAATCATTCAGGGTGTTAGGAGATGCTTGTTTCATAGTTTACAATTGCTTCTATTTTTTTCCAATGTAGTTGGATTGTCCATCATCATTTGTTGATTCATTTGTTGGATGATATTCTTCCAAATTTTCTTTAAGTTTCTGTTCTTTTCTAATACGTTTTTTTCACCTCTTAAAGAAGTTCGTTAAAGAAAGTCTTCGGTGGTGATTTCGCCTCTATTTTTGCATTAACTTGCTGATGAAACTACTACTACAACTTTTATAATTTTCTATTTCTGTTGCAGAAAAATTCTAGGTGACAAGTTCTTAAAGCTGCTCTCTGGATCTTGTTATCTACCACACCCTAAAAAGGAGGAAACTGGAGGAGAGGATGCTCATTTTATTTGTGTTAATGAGCAAGTCATTGGTGTGGCAGATGGTGTTGGTGGTTGGGCTGATCTTGGTATTGATGCAGGACAGTATGCCAGAGAACTTATGTCTAATTCAGTAAACGCGATTCAAGAAGAGCCAAAAGGCAGTGTCGATCCTGCAAGGGTTCTTGATAAAGCCTACTCAATAACTAAAGCCAGGGGATCTTCGACAGCATGCATCATTGCACTCACTGACCAGGTACTTACATTTTTATTTTTGATCTGTCTTTCCTTGTAAACGTATCAGTTAATAACATTTATTTCCAACAAATCTCACATTGCTTTATTTTCCAATGCCATGGTTTATTAGCACAAGTATTTTAAATTTATTCTGTTTCCTTAGATATAGTTTAAATAAAAATATTGTTCTGTATTGTTCAGCTTGTTTTTTGCCATGTCCATTTGCATTAAACATATTCCCTGTATCTTTGATTTGTTTGTTTCTCTGTCATGGTACTGTTTCTCCAATACATTTTTGTTTATGTAGATTTTATTAATTAGTTTTGATTTTTTTCACTATTGTGCCTTTTAAGACCCAAAGGATACATTTTTGTCTTAGTACTGTTCCTGCTTTTACTTTTCTCTTCTGGTTTAATCAGGTTCATATTTTTGAGCATTGCGCTCTAGTTGTTTTTCATTCTGTTTATCATGTTTTCTATTAGCAATGGTGATCCAATTATATTTCACCTTCCATCCCTGTATTGGCAAATATAAACAAATTGGGATTACAAGTTAACTGTTGATTTAAGCTAGAGGATATATTCTTTTTATTCAAAGGTTGTGATATTGAACAATGATTTCGAACTTAATTAGAAAAATAGAGAATGCACGAGGGACCATTTCAGATTTTGTAGAAGCTGGATGGAAAATGGTGATTGATTTAGAGTATAAGATTTCCTCAACTTGCACAGATGGATGTTGGAATAATTTTGGGTGGATGTAACGGAACAAACAAGGAGTTGGCTAGGATTACGTTAGTTTTACTCTCTAGGAAGGAATAATTGTAAGCGTATATTGTTTGGTGGTGATTGATGGATGAACGCATTTATCAATATACTTGATATCAAGCTTGCCTTAGACACCCTCAGTGGATTGAGAACAGGAAGGGGAAGAGAGGTCAACAGTCTCATTTGGCAGGATGCTCTTGGTACATTTCAAGGTTTGCATATAACAAGTCCATTTCGGCATAGATTGTAAGGCTCCAGATTGAAATTTTTAACTGTGATTCCTAATACCAGAAAAATCTTTTCAAAAGATGAAAGAACTATTACTCGCTCTAGTTCTCTAATTGTGTGCCTTTAGCACAATTAATGAACATAAAACATTACATATGGATATATTGTCTGATCCATCTGCAACTTACCTGAGACACATTTAAATATATGATTTTTTTCGTCTCTCTATATTAGTGTTAGCCAAACTGATGTATTATTCTGGTAGGTATTGCCAGATGATATATATTTCACTTCTAGAGATTAATATGTATCCTCCGGTTAGCATGAAGCTGATATTCTTCTGCTATCATATACAGTGCCAATTTGTTAGGTCTCAATTATTATGACATGAGCGACATCCAAGATGAAGCTACATGGTACACATTAATAATACTTTTTCTTGGCATGACACTAAAATCATTGATGCATCTATTTTCCATCATATACAACATGTTCTCAAACCTAGCACAAGATAATGCTGTGCAGATGCGTAAAATTGTAGTTGAAATGCCTTGCTAAATTGTCTCACCATTTTGTTATCATGAATTATGAAACTTGCAAGTGTATAATAAAAATAAACTCACATATTTTGCTTTTTTTTCTACAATTACGAAAATTTTATGCCTATTCATTTTTTTTTTTTCTATTTGCAGGGCATTCATGCAATCAATCTAGGAGATAGTGGCTTCATAGTTGTGAGAGATGGGTGCACGATCATTAGGTCACCTGTACAACAGCATGATTTCAATTTCACTTATCAGCTTGAGAGTGGTAATGGCAGTGATCTCCCCAGTGCTGCACAGGTCAGTTGGTTTCAATGGCTTCTCCTGTTATTCTAGTGAAGTGCAATAATATATCTATTAGGTTCTGGGACAGTTTTAGTTGATAATGAGTGCTTGATATCATGGCTTCTCCTGTTATTCTAGTGAAGTGTAATAATGTATCTATTGGGTTCTGAGATAATTTTAATTGATAATGAGTGCTTGGTATCATGAGTAATCTGTCATAGTGTTACACTTATATTTCTCCAAACAAACCTTTAAACTTGTGATTTCATTCTATAGGAACATTTAAAAAAATGGACACTAGAAGCTAAAAAATGAACTAAAAGGGATAATAGCTTAAGCTGACAAAGTACTGGGTGGTACAGCACCAGTGCCAGGCATACTGGGTGGTGTGTCACTCCTTATAGGTTTACCCTAGTCCATGTACCCAATAACTGGTCGAATACCGGACTGTACCAGGAAGTTTTGTGAACCTTGGTATTGATATTGAATTTCTTAACATCTTCCTTTATGTACTTGTCCAAGTTTTGTAAGAGATTAAGAGATACGTTTTCTTTTGTTCTCTCATATTCTTTGTTTCTGTCTTGTATGTTGGTGAATTAACATTACATCAATGTTGGTAAATGACCAACACTAGAGCTGCAACAAATAGCAAATTGATTAATAGCAACATCTTCTCCATTTCATGATCATATCCACAACTTTTATATGTCTTTGTCTTTTACTTTTTCTTTTTTTCCTTCCCTCACAAATAGCATCATATTTTCTTTCTTTTGTTAGTCAAATTGTCTAGAATGCGCAAATGGCTTGAGTTTGATTGATCAAAATCAATTCTTATCAAAATCTAACTATAAGGCCAAGAAATTAATGAAAACCAGATCACCTTGAGTGGTACCAGTGCATATTGAACATATCATAACAGGAACAACAGTTGCAAAATATGATACTCATATTAGGAGATTGCTACTAGGGAAGTTATCACGAGTTAAACTGGGGTCCTTTTTCTTCAAAAATCTATATTTAGTCCTAAGGTTTGTAGAGCTTGCTTATTAGTGTGCTTATAATGCTTGCTAGTGACACAATTCAAGCAAAAACTAAATATTCTTTTATTTTCATTCTAGGTGTTTACCTTTCTTGTTGCATCTGGTGATGTCATCATTGCTGGAACGGATGGACTGTTTGATAACTTGTACAATAATGAAATTACGGCTGTTGTCGTCCATGCCACAAGAGCTGGCCTGGGGCCTCAGGTAACAGCTCAGAAGATAGCTGCACTTGCACGACAGCGAGCACTGGATAAAAACCGGCAAACTCCTTTTTCAACTGCTGCCCAAGATGCTGGATATCGATACTATGGAGGCAAACTTGATGACATTACTGTTGTCGTCTCCCACGTCACTGCATCTGATGCTTAATGGGAACACTCATCTCACAGATTTTACAGCTCCTGGTTCTGGAAACTACTATGGATATCTGCATAATTTCTTGTTGCTGTATCAAAGTTTAGATATGAGAAAATTGAATGCTTTAATCGATAATTTTTTGTCCTTTTTAGTTTAGGTTCTATCTATCAGTTCTTCAGAGCAAATGGGTGACTCAACCTGTAGTTAGAGCAATAAGATAACTTACAAAGATTTATCCGGGAGTGTTTTGAGTTATCCAAGACCGTCACACTGTTACCATGATTCATATTATGGTATCTAATATGGATTTTGTTGGTTCCTGATTGTGAGGTATATATAGGAAACGAAAGAAGGTTTTGTTTCACTTCTGAAGACTGGATAAATGAAGACATCAAGCAATCATTCCTCGACGTCGGGTATCAGTAGTGCATGCTTGACTGAACCACACGAATGGATTAGCTCATTAGCCAGTTCAGGTAATATGCTGCTGCAGATAAGAGTTGTCAGTTTGCTGAGTGCACAAGTTGCAAGTAAAATATGGCTTTCCGTCTTTTTTTATAAAATTTCTTTCCTTTAAGGAATCAATTGGATGATGAAGACTTGTTTATACTCAAATGTTTCATCTAAACAGCCTTCGTTGATATTATTGATTAAAGGAATTATGCGGTTTGTTTTGGAAATTTGTGCTCTGAAACAGCTCTTAGCTTCGTAATTCAATTGATTGTGTACTAGGAAAGTTTTGATCTGGAGTTGTACCCCTAAGCATCAATGTCAATTTTGTTCACTGGAAATCCTATGGAGTTCATATATGCTCCAGGAGAGCCTTCAAATTACTCCCAAAATATTGCCAAATGTGGGTAATTATTGTTCAAATGGTGAAGAACTAAAGAATCTTTGATAGTTTATCGTAAGATCTTGATTTGCAATTACTTATCTTTTGTAAAAAAAAGAAAAGAAAATTATAAGCTTGGTATCTCACTGTCGAAGGTGGAGTGGAGTAGGAAGCTCTCTCTTGGATCTACATGTAAAACAATTATTTGATTTTGTTCAACGAAGCAACAAGATAGATGTGATGATAAATCTATATGCGTCAAACTGGCACCTCCATGACTTCATTTCTTCTCAGTATCATGTGTTTTCTGCAGATCCATGCAATATTACCGGTGTCACTGTACCTCACCCTCCATAAGCCAAATCTCTCAGCTATGTCCTTTCCGGTTGCAATCCTCTGAGAGTTCAAGAAATCTAATAGCCATTGCTGGGCACCTACCACCTCCTGCGCCATGTTTCTCTCTCCACTTCTGCTTCTGAACCTTCTTCCTCCTTGTCCGGTTGCTGCGTATCCGATGGCCCCGGCGGTCATGGCGGCCGCCCCTCCGTACAGAAGCGACGAGTCGATCAGGTGAGCGAACTCCTTTGCCAAATCAGGTATCATATGCCCCATCCCTGCCACAACGTGCGCTCCTATCTTGAGAGCAAAAGTCAGGAGCTTCATCAATCCACTCATGTAAGGCAGCAAGCACTTGATCGCCTGGTTATCTACCTGCATCAGCTCACAGCCCATCTGGTCTTCCACCACATGCATCTCCCTCTTGAACTCGCACAGCATGTGCAGCCGAAGCGACGTCATGCCCGGAAGCAGTGTCGTGATCAGTCTTCTGGAGTTGTTCTGTACCTGGACGAAGTAGAACAGACGCGGCACCTTCCTTTCTTCCAACTGGACGTCGAAGCTCACGAGATAGTCGACCTTCCTGTGAAGCTCGATGAGAAGCTGGTGCTCGTAGTATCTGAGTCCTTGAATCTCCTGCTTCAGATCCTTGATTTCCTGCTCCAGAACTTTCAGCCGCTGCAGAACTACTTCTACGCCCTTCGCGATGCCCGATAGAGAGGGTTCGATGGTGTGTTGAGCGTCGTTTACGACCACTTTGGCAGACTCCTGCGAGCTCTCAAATGGCACGGCCAGCTCCACGGCGAGATGACGCAGATCGTAGTACCTCCGGTGTAGCACCTCTCGGAAATCCTCATCGGACAGTAGACCTCTTGCATAATCTGAACCAGACTGCAAGATGAGCTTGTTATTGCTCACGAGTGAACTCCAGGTGTGCTGGTAATCGTACATGCTGTCTGCGGGCATGGAGAGCAAAGCCTGCTTTATCTGTTGCAGAGGCACACACTGGGTTTTCCTCGACCTCGATGGTATCAGATATCTGACACAGTCTTGTCTTATAATGTTCTCTGCGAAGGTGATGCTGGGGCACATACTTTGGATTGCTGGGATTATGAGATGGTGGAAGAGTCTGAGAGTTTCCGTGACGGTCTTCGTAGAACACGCAAGAACATCGATGTAGGAGCCGAGTTGACCCCCAATTTCCACTCTGACATGGACTCCATTGATGATCATGCAGATGAGGTTTCTCTCTAGGCTGTAAACTGCACCTTGTTGGTTCTTGGATCCCAGTATTTTGTTGTATAGATTCACCTGAAATTTAGCTCACAATATATCATAAAAGGTATGATGTTTCTATAGCTAGAAAGCCATGCTTGTGTAACAATCTCAAGATCTAACATAGTTTACTGTCATGCTAGAGTTGAAGCTTTCACACCATGACAATGTAATGTCTTCCCTAACAAAACTATTCATTGTTCTTCATGCAAATGGGTGGAAACACACACCTGTAGTCTGGGAAAGAAGCCTTTTGTCAGAAACATGTGCCAGTGATCACATTCCAGTTGCCTCCCAACATAGACACAATCAGGAGAGCTCGGTTGCCATCCCTGATTTCTTCCTCTGCCTTCTTCAAGAATTGATGGTATCAGAAGAAGAGTTTGTGGGTCACCAGGATCTTGTTCATAGCACAGTTCCAATTTTAGCATCATCTTTATGAGATCACCAGCCTCCATATTGTCGTGCACTTTTGAGCCCATCAGAGGATTCTGATGCTGCATTGTTCTTCTTAACATCTTCTCCAGGTCTGTCCTGCTCACAAAGCCAATTTTCTCGAATCTTTCCATGTTTGCTGCATCTAATGTTACCAGCTGGCTGAGCACCTCTCCGAAGAACCATTCGTAGTCCAAGACCAGAAACCCGAGATCGTCGAAGAAGATCACCTCTCCGATGTGGTGCAAAGAATTTGCTACTGCACGCCGCCGCCGCTCCACCCTGTCGATGTTGTTGTGCCTCGATCGAATTCTCAATGCTGGGACTTTAAGCTGGCACAACTCACCGAATTCCTTCCATCTCAACGCTGGCTTGTTGCAGTTTTCAGACCTCCAATTTGACAGGATTGTTCGCAGGTCATCGCACAACTCAAAGACTCGGGGAACCCTTTGGAGGATGGTTTCACTGGTTTTTCGCAGATGATGTGCGAGTTTGCTCACTGACATGGATGATCTTGCATCTACCATGAAGACAGTGGGATAGAAATCCACAAAACCTTGGAACCTCTCCTTGAGTCTTTGTATGGAATTAGCAGTTGACTGCAGGACGCCCGATTGCTGCGACACTCTGTCGGAGTGGGTGAGAATTATGGTGACATATGGTAGCATGGACTGTGCTGTTGCCCTCCTGGAGTTTGAAACTATGAACTTGAGCCAGTAGAGGAGGTCATCCTCAATCTCCTCTGGGCTCTTCGGTTCTTTGTTGGCAGGCTTTTGGAGCAAGCTGGATACTATCAGGAAGAACGAGGGGCTTCCATAGCCTGGAAAGAAGAGGTCATGTAATGCAAAGTTCTCATGTTGACCAGCGAGGTTCCAGATCGAGATCTTTATATCACCATCATATATAGTCTTTATCTTGATGACTGCCCTTCGCATGATCTGCTCGATAGAAGTCACCAGACTTCTCATCTGATCCGCGTAAGGTAGCTTCGAAGAGTTCATGTTGCAGAAGATGGAGTTACACAGGGTGCTTTTTCCTGCATATGAAGATGGAACCCTTCGCATCAGGATGGACTAATCTGTTCTTTCGAGATCTACAACTAGCATGAATTCAGCATGATAAAGATGAACAGAAAATGATCGGTGAAGCTAGGTACGATGAGCAGTGGTGAAAACATGCCTGCATCTTCTTGGCCACAGAGGAAGATTCTGCAGCATCTGGGCATGGTCAGTGGCAAGTCATCAACCAAGTCATCCTCTGCCACCATGCTCCCGTTCTGCCCCAGCTTCTCGTAGATCCCATCCGTCTTCCCAGCGATTTGCAAAGGTGTTCGACCAAGATCGACCTCTTCGATCCAAGGATTGACCTGCAAGGTCTCCATTATGGCCTGCAACACCATTTCTCCTTGAACCCCTGCACACCCTTCCAAGGATAGCCACCGTAGTGTTGCATTTCTTTCCAAGATCCTGAAGATTTTGACGATATCATCTGGCTTCAAACTAGCATCACCGCAGATGCCCAATCGAACAATGGTCTGGTTCGTCTCCAGCATTCTAAGGATCGCTGCTAAACCTGCTTTTCCGATCTTTGTCTTCCCTCCCCCGAAAACCAATGATCTCAATGTCGTGTTCGCTTGATTTTGCAGCGCAGAGAACCTGCTCAGGGGACACAGCAGATGCTCCACACCGACTCCAGTCAACCAGTTCTGATCCAGATGCAAGTTCTCTAAGCTCTGGTTCATGAAAAGCCCGGCAGCTACATACACCACTGCCTTGTCTCTAAGGCAAGTTCTTGACAATCTGACATCTTTCAGGCTTGTGTTCTGTTCTAAGGCCACTCTGAACTCCTTCGCCCACCTCGATCTCAGACGAATTCCTGACATGTCTAGGGTCCTCACAGTAGAATTCCATGCCAATGCACAGGCCACTCTCCGGGAACCTGAAGCCTCAAGCTTGTAGATCCTCAGGGTGTTGTCTTCAGGGGTGAACTCGACTACCTTGGAGCTCCTGTCACCATTATCTCTACTCCATATATGAACTTCCATATTCCGACTCCTTGCTAGTATCGCGGAGATGAGCGGTGTTGCAGTGATGGATTCCTTGTCGAATACGATCAGCAGTTTTAGTGTTGGGTTCACCTCAATCGCTCTCGCGAGGTCTTCGGCTCCTCTCGAACCGATCGAGTCCTCCCATATCTGGAGTTCTTCCAGTGTGTCGTTCTTCGTCAACGCCGACGACAGAAGGCTCGCACCGGCCGCCTCGATCCGACACTGGGAGAATATGACTGCTTTGATTGCTTTGTTTCTTTCGAGCATTTCTGATAGCTCTCGCACGCCTTCGTTGCGGAACCTGTTTCTTTGGAACTCCAGGTATATGAGGCTTGGACTGACATCGAGCAACGAACACAAGCTCTCAAGTTGCCTCTGCTCCCACTGCATTCCATTAAATGCCAAGTTCATGAGATTCTTGAAGCTGCCCCCTTGCACTGCCATCTCACCAAGAAGCTGACAGAGGAATCGAGCACCTTCTCTGTTCGTAGAGATGTTGATGCTCATCGAATTCTCTGCTATCTGGCAAGAGCTTGAACTGATTTGAGACTGGTGGAAGTGAATATTTTGCAGAGAACTGCTCGCTGACCTGAGTGCATGCAGAGCCTCATCAATACCGCTGGTGGCTGTGCTGGATGACATCGGCTTCTCTGGATCAAGTGAAATCCTCGCCACATGAAAAGATGATGTTTATGATCATAGAACAATCTATCTCTGAAATCTTAAACAGTATCCTGCAATCCTTGTGGTAAGCTGCAGATCGTGCAGTTCCATCACACATCTGCTACCGACTTGCAACTCTGGGGGCATCATCAGGTTCTTGTAGAACTACTTCATGAGCGGAAGAGGAAGATGTGCAGTACTATTCTTGAGTTCAATTCCAGATGCTGTGATGAAAGATTTTGCATGACCAGCGTGAGTGAAGCTTCTCTTGCATTGGTTAAGCGGAATCTATTCCAGCAGGCTGTCAAAAAGGAAAAGGAAAAGAAGAAAGCAGTTCACTTGCTTCCTTAGCATGGTTTCTCTTCCTTGCTGAAGAGAAAAGAATCGAACAAAGCGGATGAAGGAGAAAGAAGTGTGCAGATGCAGGTCGAAAACACCTGCTTAGTAGAACTGGGACGTCATAGTTCTTTCATACGAGTGGTCGATCCTTCAATCTTTTGACCTTACTCGAACAAGCATCAAAATTCACAAAAGAAATATGACGTCACAAATGTAGTCTTTTATCTTCGTTATTCTATAAATAATTTCTTTGAGTTCGTATTTGGATCCTATATTTTTTTGGATTCGGATTTTTAGATAGATCCGACCCGATAACACAGAAGCTCTTAATCTCTTCCGTGTAGTTGACTCTGCAGAAGGCTGCCTTGGTCGGCGGTGAGGGGAGACCGAAAGCAATATGGTGGTCACGATCGATCCCAAGGTGTGGCATAAGGCCGCTGCAATCTCCGGTACAAGTCGTCGTCATCAACCTCTCTCTTTCTTGCTTTGTTACTTCGTTTCGAGATCGATTTAGTTTCTTTGTGTTCTGCAACGGAATCAGGCGTTGCTGCGCTTGGCCTTGGGACTTACGGCTTTCATGTCTTCAGCCCCCAGAACCCATCTTTCAAAGAGGTATGAGCTGTACTCTGTCTCATTTCTTCGATTCTATCAGATATCTTTGGGTCTCTCTATTGTTGTGATTTCCGTTTCCCCTTCTTTCTTGTGGTCGTCGAACGATCAACAATGGAAGGTTTGGCGCACCGCCGCCCTCTACCACTTGGTCCACACGGCCGCCTTGGTTGGAGCTCCGATCACCAAATTCCCCAACATCGTTAGTCTTCCCTCACTCTCCCCCTTCTGAATTTGATGGGTAAACGATCATCGTTTGTGCTTAATCTCTCTATTTATGCAGTTCGGAGGGCTTCTGACTGCCGGTATCTTGGCCTTCTCGGGATCGTGAGTATATATGTATAGAAATTAATATGATTTTGCTTGGTCCCTTTTTAATGCGCTTCTTTATAAGTGTGTGCATATACATGCATATATAGATGGAAAGAAATAATCATTCATGAAATTTGATTTTGATTGCTCGTTTTTGGTGATTTTGATATGTTAAGATTATTGCTACAAAGAAAAAAGATAGAGCTTCTGCTTCTACATTTTAAATGATCAATGGATTTAGGTTTATGAGACTAAAAATGGATAGTCCCTTCAAACTTGTCATAGCAAATTTTGTAGAAGAATTTTAAAGTTATTAAGTGTTACAAAACTGGAGCTTCTGAACAATATATTTAACTCGCGGCACGTGAATGAAGAATGGGCTAGATGAAAGAGTCTTTGTAGATGCAGTCTCTAGTCTTCAAGGACTAGCTAAGTGGCTCAAAAGTGAGACAACATCTAGTTTTATTAGAGTTCTGATAAAAAAGCATGCAGTAATCATAAAAAAAAAAAATCTGAGTATGAGTTCTGTCCTTGTGCTTTTCAGACGAAAGTCTTTCTAAGACTAAATCAATTGCTTTAATTTGTTGGAATTTTGAACAAGAACTAGTTCCATGGTAATCTTTCCCCTCGTTCTTATACTTTTTTAGTTAGACCTAAATGATTTTATTCACATTTAAAGGGCTTGTATAGGGAAAATGAAGAAGCAATGTTCTCAGTCACACTGGAAGAAAGGTATTTTCTAGTGGAAATAGGCCTTCTTTAGTACAACAATAAGACATAATTTGAGAACTGCTGCTTTTTAGAATGAATTGTTTCAATACAACAACGACAACAAGAAGAAATAGGCCTTCTTCAATGGTGAATTTTTATTCATCATATTCTTATTCTTCATCTATGAATGAAACTCCTGTTTTCTAGAAGAAAATTTGTTCCATATGCTACTCTATTAATTGTTAATGACAACATTTATTGATAAACAAATCATTTTTTTCGCCTCATGAATAAGGAGAGAGAATTAGACATGGGCACGGATAAGATGATATTTGCTTAAAGAATTGAGCAAAAGGAAGAGTAACCAAAGTTGTTTGTTCATAATATTATTTCAGATCTTCTTTGTTCTTTTATCCTCAATAAAATTCATTTATGTGGTATCCACCTGCATTGCGAGTCATTGGTCTTGCAATATACATCTGCAGAAAGATGGCTTTATAAATTAATTCTAATAAATCTGTGTAAGTGAACTAATTCTGTTGAGCAGCAATTCTGAGTTAATCTCTCAACCTAAAATATCAAGAGCAATTCATGCTGTTGAAGCTTCTTTGAGTGAAAGTTTCAAGCTGAAACTAGTTAGTTATCGGACAGTATCTCATTACAAGTGTCCGTGATGTCTTTAGGTGCTACATGGCGGCTTATTTTGAAGACAAAAATTACTCTTTTCCTGCGCCATTTGGTGGATTTGCATTTGTTGCTGCTTGGGCTAGCTTACTCTTCTGATGTATATAATGTACATTCGGGAATTTTATATTGCATGAAAGCAACAGTGCAGTATGCCAGTTACTCTTCTGACATATTGCATGAATTTTATATATGCTCTCTGTGCCTCGGTGCAATATACTGGTCTATTTAAGATTGTAATCATTGTCTTAAATAATTGGATGTTTTCAGTGATACTTTTTGTTGCTTATAAAGTTTTCAAACTCTTTAATATTTGGCATTAGTTGCAGGCTTATTCAATCATAAGTTTCCTTGCTTACCATGTCATGCAAGCATCTATAATTTTCTGGTGTTATAACCTTATTCTCAAAGAATCATAGCAACTGCACTGTAGTAGCAAGTTCCTCCATGGCTTTTGTACTTTTGCCAGTAGCTACTGACGGAAAATAGCAAGGTTTCTTTGGTTGGAATTGGATCATCCTGCAATCTGCAACAGCATCTGGTTGGTGTTTGTTCATGTGCTGTTCTCTTTTCCATAGGAAGCTATAAGGTATTTCTTTCCAAAATTGTCGATTCAATCTTCAACAAAAGATTGATATGATAAATAAGATAATAAATGAAAATGAGGTGAAAATTTTTGGGAGGGACCCTTTCAACTTTATTGTATGTAGACACACTAACATACTTGCACATCATGATATTATTGATCAATATGTCATATATTTCGATTCAAGCAAATTAATTGCATGAATAAGATTGGTTAATAAGTATTCATGAGTTCAGTTATCATTTACATTTAATTGCTTATTACGAACTACAAAAAATTTATCATGCAGAGGAGTCGTCACTTAATTATCGAATCAAGCAATAAATAGTATTGCTTGTCATTTGATTTTAATTGCCAGAAGAAAGGATAAATACAAGTTAATTTTACTTTCTTTGGTGATATTTATTAACTTGTAAATAGACTGCCTGCAATTATAAAATTAATTGTCAATCAATTACTCAATAATTACTTTATAATATATATTAAATGACTTATTATAGATAGCACTAAATCTTACAATTAATAAAATGAACCGTAGAAAATTTAAAATGGATCTGACGTCATGGACAAAAAAATCCGATAATATCAATGTCGGACACGAATTTTAGTTGGATCCGACCCGATAACATCCCTCTCGAGGCTCTCTTAACTCTTCGGCTCGGGTCCAAACCTTCGCTTCGCAGCCGGCGGAAGGAGACCAGAAGGCAATTGGCGCCGACGATGGATCCCAGGATGTGGCACAAGGTCGCTGCAATCTCCGGTATCCTCTTCGTGCTTGCTTGCTTGCTGTGTTTCTGGATCGATCTGAGCTTTCTTTGTCCCTTTTTTCGGTTGGATCAGGTGTTGCTGCTATCGGTCTGGGGACTTACGGCGCTCATGGTTTCAAGCCCAAGAACCCATCTTACGAGGAGGTTCGAGCTGCAATTTCTGTGTTCTCTTTTCTTCGAATCGATCAGAAAGTTTTTGGGGCTTTCCCGTGATCTTTGTTATTGTTGTTGTTCTTTTTGTTCCTCTGTTGTGCTGGTTGAACGATCAAATTGGAAGGTTTGGCGTACCGCCTCCCTCTACCACTTGGTCCATACGGCCGCCCTAGTGGGAGCTCCCATCGCCAAACGCCCCAACATCGTTAGTCTTTCCTTTCTCTCTCCCTTGTGAAGAATTTGATGGGAGTATCATGTTCACATGTTCTTAATCTCTCTTTGTGTGTGCAGTTTGGAGGGCTTCTAACTACCGGTATCGTCGGGTTCTCGGGAACGTGAGTGTGTTTTTCTTCTCCTTCGAACTTTATCGTTTCTGTCATCAATTTTTCTTTCTCTTCTTTCATTTGCCTTTTCTTTTATCTCATATATGTGGATAGAAATCAATGGTTCAATGCCCATAATGACATTACCGTACAAAAGAAAAGATTGTTTCACATTTTGGTGAATTTTAATCTCTAACGTAAGAGTATGGAGATTCCGCTATAACAATTCAGTCGACCAATTTAGGATCGAGGAAGCTGTTGCAAAGAAAAGTCAGACCTTGAAACTTTTATAGTCAATTTTTGTAAAAAAAAATTTTAAGCTATAATAGCAACAAAGTCTGTAATTTTGACCAATCTAAGATCAAATCATGTAATTGACCAATATTTCTTATTCAAGTTCGTGAATGAAGAATAAGCTAGAGTGGAGGTCCTTACATATGCAGCCTAAGGACATGAAGAACATAGATAAGGTGGTGAGAAGTGAAACACTACTAGATATAATTACAGTACTGATGAACAAGAATGCAGTAGTTTTCAAGAATCTAAAATCTGAACTTTCTTCATGCCTTTCGGAGGGCTGTCTTGCTGAGATTAAACAAATTGCTTTTAATTTGTTGGGGAAAACACTAATTATATTTTTCACACCCAAATGATCAGTAAATATATTATTATATGGAAGGAGCTTGTATGGTGGAAATGAAGAAGCAAGGACGCAATGTTTTCAGTTGCATGGTAAATTAGTGTCCATAGAGAAATAGGTCTTTTCCAAGGGTCAGTTTTAACTTCTTACATTCTTACACAGATGCTACTCTCTGAGTTATTAGTGGGGACAAACTTCCATCAAATTGTTTTTCTATCTCCTTTGTTTGCTATGTAGAACCTGGCCATTTTGATTGAAGAAATGAGCCAAGATGAAGATTCAGTAAAGTATTTTGTTGTGTATGGTATTTCACATTCTTCTTTGTGATTTGTTTTTCCTCACATCCTTCTTCGTCTTCATGAATTTAGAAAAACTGTAGAACCAGGCCATTTTGATTAAGGAAAAGGAGGAAAACATGAAGATTTATTGACATTGTTTGTTCCGTGTCATTTGACTTCTTTGTTATTTGTCTTGCCTTGATAAAATTTATGTATATGGGATCTAGCTGCATCATGAATCATTAGCCTGGCAATTTACACCTGTTGAATAATGGTTTCAGATAATTAACTGTACTAGTGAACCAACTAAGTTATGTAGCAGTTTTCTCTTAATCTTAATACCTACAATATAATGAGCAATTCATGTTGTTGCTTCGTACTAGCAGAGTTGTTTCAAGCTGAAAGTAGTTAGTTATGGGCGTAGTATCTCATTACAAGTGGCTGTGGTTTGTTTAGGTGCTACACCGTGGCTTATCTTGAAGACAGAAAGATCTCTTTTATTGCACCATATGGTGGATTTGCATTTCTTGCTGCTTGGGCTAGCTTACTCTTCTGACACGCAATGGATCATCAACATTTGAGGTGTCATATTGCATTGGAGCTATTTGGGGTAGTCTCTCAATCTAAGCTTCTGATCATTGTGTTAAATATTTTAAAATTATAATAATTGTTTTTTTATGCTTATTAAGCATTAAAAAATATTTAGACATGTAGTCCTGGACTTGTTCAATCAAAAGTATACTTGCTTGCCATGTGGACAAGGTCCTTGTGGCTTTAAATGTTTTAACTACAAAGAACTCATATTCTTACATTATCTCATTTGTCAAAGAAACTTAAATTGTAAACGATGTTCATTATGCTTGATCTTTATGCCATGACATGTTGATGTTTAAACAGACTTGTGGAATTTTTCACTTAGAGTTGTCAACAGTCAACAAATCTGTCAAGACAACTGATCTAGAACTCCTTGTTGGTCTTTGTCCCTTAGCATCAGAAACCATTGAGAATTGGCATTTGTTGATTAACCTTGTCATTCACAATCTGAGCTTTGAGCATGATTAACCATAATATAACTGAAAGAATTTCTCAGAAGTTTGTCCTCGGTTATGTCAAGGGAGCGACTGGAAGTGGCAGCAACATCACCTGCAAGAAAGAACCAATGAGGCAAGTTCATGTGATTCAGCTGAGAAAATTTTTAACATACAAACGTATATATGTTGCTGTCATTAGAAGCTGAGATACAAAGTCATAACTTGCTTTCTGACACTCGAGTAGCTAAGCATCATTAATGGATCTTGCTCTTGCTTGTGTGTTATCACATGTTGAGATATTGTGCAATTTGTTCAAGAAGTGCATTTTTTCTGCTCCCGAGCATACACAAATATGTAGTAGTCTATGATTTAGAAATATCAGTGTTAAATCATGATTTAGTATCGCAAGATCTGTTTCACATAAATTACACTTCTGCTGAATGAAACAACTGCTTCAAGAGAAGATAAGAATCATATATGACTTTAGGTTGGTAACAATAGCAGCAGCACTGAAGAAGCAAGACCCTCCTTGTTTTTCGTATTTCTGCATAGCACTCGATGGTCCTTGACATCTTAATAAGCTGCAGAGATTTAGAGTTTTTTGTTTTTTTGGAGGTGAAGGTGGTCTTAGATATGTCACTGTACGTTCTTAATTCATAGTTGTATCTAACAAAAGTATGATGCCTTAACACTTTTTGTTTGAAATATCTACAATTTCTAAGGATCTCTAAGGATGGTGGCCACCATGGCTGCCGGGGCCAGAGTTGAACTAAACCTCTGCACTCCATCTTGCAAGCGAAGATCCATGAGTATGTTCTTGGCACGGTCCCTCCCATGCTCAAGTCGAATAGAAGAGGGATTTCTGAGGTGAAACATATAGAATAATGAGAGGAGAGAGAAAATTCTGTATCGTAGCTAAAATGACCCTTGTTTATAGTCTAGGATCCTTACTTGCTTGTGGTGAAGGAAACATTCTGCGAATCATTCGTGATTTGGAGAATATTTTCTATTGTGATTTATGATGACAAGCGTTTCATCGTTTTTTTTTTAACGGCTGGCATTCACATGTCAGTTCTTTATTAGGGTGATGATTATCAGCACTGCATTTATATAATTGGTTAGCAAAAGTTACAAGGCTCTCATATTCCTTGCAATAATTTTTAATACCCCAAGGCAGCTCAAACATCCCATTTAGATATACTAAGATAATAGAGAGATTCGCCTGATCATCGTGCAGTCTAATTCTCTTCTCTTGCTTTAGTGCGACTCCGAGTGTTGTTACTGGTTATTACTCTACTCCACTTTTCATAATGAGATAGTCTCTTATCATCTTGAAATCATCCAGAAACTTGGATGGATGATTAAGGTGGGAAGTGTCTATAAGCATTCCTTAACTGGAGATCTGAATATAATATAAAACAGTAGGAAACAACACAAGTTAGGTTTTCACATGGATTTTGAGATGTCTGTGATCATAGCATGAATGAAGCATTTATGTTGATTCTAAACTAAATCTTCCTAATCTTTGTTATTAGAATCAGTTGTTTGCCTTTTTTTTTTTTTGGCAATTTCATTGCAATGATCTTCTGTGTAGAAGCACCAATCTTCCGTGGTCAAGGTCAGTATCTGATGAACATCACCCTCGGAACTCTACCGCTTACTCTTCCGGTCATCTTCGACACGGGCAGTGGAGTGACTTGGGTGCAATCGACTCCTTGCGTGGAGTGTTACGAGCAGGATTACCCCTTGTACAATCTTAGCAAGTCGTCCTCGTACAAACCGGTGGGTTGTTCCACCAAGACATCAAAGTACGACGACTACCAGACAAAGTGCGTCAACGGTAGCTGTGTGTACGCCGTGGGCTACGCGGACAACTCCTACTACTACTATGTCGGCGTGGTCGGTACCGAGTACTTCACCTTCGTCGGCACCGATGATGATCCCAAAGCAGGCATGGTGGAGATGTCCTTCGACGTGGGGCTCCAAAACGACGGGACGTTCGACTTACTGCGTTCAGCTGCACGACATTACGATGGGCATCAAGAAGCTGCACATTCCACTGGGGACGTTCGACTTGAACCGCGGCGGCCTCATTCTCGACACCGGCACTCCCTTGACGTATCTTTATAGGGAACCGGAGGAGCTGGACAAGTAGGTGAAGTTGAAGCGCGTCGGCAGGTGGACTCGCCAACAATGCTTCTACGGGAACTACGACCATTTGGACGACGGGACGACGGTGCCAGTGCTCAGATTCCATTTCGAGGGGTTGGAAGTGACCGTGCCACCCACGTTATATTTCACGGTAGAAGGCAATTACGTTTGCTCCACCCTGATTGCCACCGACTCTAAACCCCTCGTGTGCGGTTCCTACATGCAACAAAACTTTGTTGTCGGATATGATTTAGAGTGGAGCAATATTTACATTTCTCCCAAGGATTGTACAAAGATTTAACCATGCAAAAAAACAAGATGAATAAGTATCTGTCACGATAAATAAATTAATATATATATATATATATAATGATTTTTTTATATAAAAAATCTTATAATTTGGCCACGTGGATTTGACGTTCAAACCCAATATTCTATATTAGGCTAAAAGAAGACCTAAGCTTTTATCAAGAAAAATAAATAAATTTTAATGATTATAATGTAGTTCTCAAATCCCACCTATAATTTAGGATTGGATTTAGTTGGTTTTGTCTAATTCGTGTGGCACCCTTAGTATTCGTCCGTAAAGATTAACCTCCCCGAAATCTTCTATGGTCCCTTAGGATCTACAAAAGATAAAACAGATTAGAGAAAAACGTTTCACTCGGGATCCATAAACAATAATTTTAGCAAATACTTCATAACTAATACAAATTACAAATATAGACTTAACAAGTTCTGAATGATCGTACAACAAAGAATCCAAAATGATCCACTAAAAATCGAAATCCCCTTAAGTGCCCATATGATACAATCTATTATAAGCTTAAGACGATCATCAAAACCAACTAAAATAGGGTTACTAAGCTTACTATTAACCCTTAATATGTTGTGCAAAGTAAGAATAAAATCAAAAGATATAAACACTGTATCAAATACCCTGTTTATAATTTTATCCGTTATCCATGACAATACACAACATTATTGTCCAACAAAAGCAAATGCATAGGAATGTGGTGAACAACATGAGACACCAAATAATGTCATGGTCAGTGAACTGCCTAAGCTATTTGGATAGACGGGCATTGGTTTCAACTTTCAACTCAAGTATCTATTTCCAATTCTTTTGCACACGGATCTATTGCCTCTTGAATAACTGGGTCAGATATGAACAAAGCCTAATATCTTTTATTCCTCAATTATCAAAACAGACAAGAAATTATTTTGCTAATGGGCGCAAAAATGGTTGTCATGTAAGGAAAATAAATAACAACATAAATATAACCTGTAATTTTATAATGTTCATCTCAACTTCACTACGCCAGGAGTTCATGTCCTTACCTGACACATAAAAATTTCTACCCATCAGACAGAAATACTAAAATTAAATATTTAAATAACTTGATCGGCCAAAAAAATTATAGAGAGATCGCTTAAGAACACGAAAGCAACGAAGTTAGAAATAATACTTGAAGGAGATTATATATAATTAGAACTTGATAAAGACTACATTGAACGCATCGACCATTCTTCCTAGAGTCAAAGAAATGTTTATCTTGGTGTCTGGGCAAAATAAATGAATAAAAACCTGTGTCACATACAGTGTTTCCTTTGTGAGTAGCGGCAGTGCACATCCAGAAGATTAGAGAAACCAATGTCACGACGCAAGCTTTCCTGATTCAATACCAGAAACTAATGGTTGAACAACTGCGAATCCGTAAGAGTAAGACAACTAAATCTGATGAAATGATTCCACTGGAAGGAAGGCAACTAAAACTAATGGTTGCCTTCCTTTCCTGATTCAAGTGGAAGGAAGGCAACTAAATCATGAAACGAATCGAATCTGCACCCCTCACAGTTTGCATTGATGAAATGATTTCACTTACTCTGTGTGTCCTTAGCGGCCTCAGGGAGGTAGTTGCTCGACTTCCTCCAGCAGTTCCTTTCATGAGAAGAGGTTTGGGGTCAGGAAAGAGATCGGGAGAGAGCATCGGGAGGAGAGCGAAATAAAAGGGACCAAGAGAGTACCCCGGACGGCGGCTCCCGCTGGAGGGCGAAGAGGAGAGTCGAGGCCTCACATCTTTCTTCTTCGATTCACACCCACCACCATCTTAACCTTTGAGAGAATAATTCAAACCCCGATTTAATCTGCTCTAAATGTACAAATAGCATTCGAGCATTCCATAAGCAACAAACCCTAATTTTAGTGAATGATATATCAGTTGTTTCCTATCGGTGGATTCGGCCAATCCCCATTCAGACAATTTGACCTATGCATTTTGCTTTTCTTCTTTCTTTTTTCAGCTTATGAAACAAAACATACTATCAGAAAAAGATCCGTGATTAGGCTTATCTGATCCGCTGCCTGGCTCATCCTCGCGTATGAAGGGCACCAGATGGAAGCAGACACGGAGAGAAGAATAAGAACACCTGTATGAATATTCTACACGATCAGTAAGGCTAATAAGAAGGATAATATGGCGTGATCATTGTCAAGAATACAACAGAAACGTTAGACCAACCTCCCTGAAAATACAACCAAACACGTTAATCTAAGCATCAAAAGCCTGATGTCTCGAAAACTAGGTGCGTAAAAAAGGAAAGACGAAGCTTTTCTAGATTATTTGTGTCGATCACATCAAAGCTTCCAAGAAGACAAATACGAAATGGGGCTTTACAAAGAAGAGTAAACCCGCCTGCAAATCCAACCGGCGACCTACCAAACTTGTGAATCGGAATAGTGAGAAACGAGGCACCGACTCGCTATCTAGAATCCATAGCCATAGCCACGCGCTCTTCGACCGTAGCATCGTCTCCTACCTTAGCAAGCATTATTGCAGTCAGCATCAGCTTGCCTGCATCAGGAAAGTCTTTGTGCTGCATGAGAATTCCTTCCACCGAAAGGCTTTCGTCTTTGATACTCGAAAATTCATCATCATCTTTCTGCAAAGGCATTACTTCCTCGAAACCACCACCATGGATCTGTGACTCAGGTCCATAGCACCAGCTGGAAGCCTTGTACAGCACAGTCTCTCCTAATGCCTCTAGGACAACTTTATCACTCCAACCTTCTGCTGTTGATACCTGGATAAGAGCTATCCAGTCGTCTTGGCTGGCTGCATTCTTCCAACATTCCTCCAGAAGGCTTCTGTTGGACCTCCGGAAAGATGAACTTGTCCATGCAAACACTTCAAAAGGTTTTAAACACAGTTCTTTACTCGCTTCTCTTAAGCACACTTCGATCAGTTCTCCCGGAGGGAGGGGTCTATTGATGTCCTCTCTATCATCTGACAAGTGTCTGACAATCTCCTCCTGCAGAAACGAACAAAATAAAATAAAATAAATAAAATCAAAATAAAAAAAAGGAAGGATCGAGTGTCCTAAAGAAATATAATAAATAAGAAATCTAAGAACACTGTTACAGGAATTGAGAGTCCTCACGTAGAACTAGCTGATCAAATTAAGAGAAAATTGTAAGAGAATTTAAATAGAATTATTAAAATAACATCTTTAATTAAATTTTTTTATCAAAATTTAAAAATTTGGAAAATGCATGGAGGCGCTATGGATACAAACTCAGAAAGTCGGGCTCTGGGCATGGAGTGTTACCAGGACTCATTGGTTGAATTTTAAAGATAATAATGCAAGGCTTTCTAAAAATCAGATAGAGATAAATTTTTTTGGATTTTGAATGGAGACAATTCCAATACCATATAAACGACCACTAAAATTAAAAGTGTATCAGGGAGATTTTTTGGGATCTAAAGATAAGAGGTTAGCATCAAGAGAGTGCTGATGAAGGTTTTCGGAAGTTTAAAAAACAGTCACAAAAAAGAAATATATGCTCTAAATATTAACAAAAAAATTATATATATACATAAAAGGATTTTCTCAGTGGGACTTTAACAAGTCACAGTAGCTAAAAGAGGAGGCAAAATTATTGCAAGTATAACAAAATATATAGACGGAGATGTTTTTTACAGTAAAATGTTAATGGTTAGGAAAATAACATCTATTAAATTGCTAGGTTAGGGATCGATCGAGCAAAGATTTAGGTAAAATTAGTACTTAAAAATGAAAATCAAAATGTGCTTGTTAATAATCTTAAGGTTAAAAAAGAAAAATATTATTTTATGCATTATTTAATTAACATTCTATAAGTAACTTACCTTTAGAGATTAAAAAAAATTAGAAATCATAGTTTTGTTTGTAAAATTGGAACAAATAAAGGAAGTTTAAAGAGACTGAAAATAGGTAAAAGTTTTAGATATATTAGATCTAAGTTTGGTGAAGGCATCAGTCACCTATGAGTGGTTTAAGTGTAAAGTAGACTCAGTGGTTTTGTGTGATCATAGCATATTCAATACTTAAAAAGTAAAAACCTTATCAGACAATTAGTATGTTTTTTTAATTGAAGTATTGAGAATTATTAGAG